CCTACACCAAGCTTGTCGAGGTCGAGAGAACCCACAAAACCGCGCAGGAGCAGTCGGCGCAGCGGTTGCTGGACTCGGAGGCCGCCCGCCGAGAGCTCGAGCGCGAGCGCGACGCTGCTCAGCGCCAGTATGAGCTCCAGCGCACGCTGTACGCGAAGTCAGTGACAGAAAAGGCTGCGCAAGAAATCGAAATGACCAAGCTACGTCGCAACCACCAAGACAATGCAGCGCTGACAGCGCGCGTTTCAAGCCTCGACGTGGAGCTACGCGCAGCGACACTGGTGTTGCAGCAGAAAACGAATGCCCTTGAGATCACGTTGGCCAAGATTCTCGACGACAACATCGTCCGAACGGTGTTGCGGGACATGAACGCCGACATGCTTTCGCAGATTGCGGTGCTGGAGCAGCGATTGGTCACGATGCAAGCACGCCACTCGCAAGAGAATGCACTCACTTCGAAAAAAATCACGAAACTGGAGACCACTGATGCGAAACTTCAGGCCGAAGTTGCTGCGAAGTCGTTCGACATTGCGACCATCCACTATGAAATAGCCAAGCTCACGCCCAAGCAAGCTCGACGCGAGGTGAACCAGCGTCGTTCCACGTAAGGACAGCAGAAGGGCGCCATTGAACATGCGTAACACGAGGTAATTCCACTCCAACCTCAAGACTGTGTATATTGTGATATTTCCGTCGGCGCGTCTATCGTATGTAAGCCAGGTATCGGCAGTTTCATAGCCCATTTTGAGTGTGCAGCTAGACCACATATCACAGTGCCAATACAACAGTTACAAAACCGCAATGAAATAACAGACAACTTGTCCATTACCATAAATCAAAGAGCAAGCTATGCAACAAAGCCACCTCTAACTTAGAACGAGAGCGCTTTCATGTCGAGGGCCTTGTCCTGGAACTGCTGGAGCGTCTTTCGGAGCGCGTCGACGTTCAAGCCATGATGCACGTACGCGCTGCCGCCGCGCACGTCGAGGAGGATCGCGTACGGACCCGTGACGTCGTCGTCCTTGACACCGGCAATGTCCCGAACGCGCTCGCCGAGGCCACCGGGGGTCTTGACCGTGAAGAACACGACGCTCGGTTCGTCCTTCACCGTGCAGACGTTGCCGTCGCAGACCGTGCCACGACCGCACTCTGCCGCGAGCGTCTTCAAGTCGGCTTCGTGCTGGACGAGGTCGTCGCCCTCGAGCATGTGGCAGTATGAGACGAGCGACGGCTTGTCGTTGATCGAGAAGCCGTTCGAGGACGTGCTCACACCGAGGTCCACGACACTCATAGGCGGCCACGGAAACGCGCTGTTGTCAACGTCGCTCGTAATCGCTGCGACGGCGTTCTTGTTGATGATGGCGCGGGTCGGTCCTTGGTTGATGCCCAGCACGACGACCTGCGGGATCGTCTCGAGCTCGTAGAGTTCGGCAAAGTCCTCGAACGCCGTCTTGGCAGCGTCAAAGGGCACGGCGAGCCACGGCATGGTCGAGAGCTTGTCGTCAAACACGTTTTGGCTCGTGTCGCACGAGAGATAGAGCACCTCGAGCTCGTGGCCATTCGCCTTGGCGCTCTCGTAGGCGTCCACGAGACGCAGAGTAAACGCGTCGCAGTCCTCAACCGCGGCCGTCGCAAAGTACAAGAGAAGCACCTTGCCCTTGAGGTCGCCGGCCGAGAAGACAGCGCCGTCACGGTTGATGAAGCGGTCGCCGAGCATTTGGCGGAACGTCTTGGGCACATACGGAAAGGCGAGGCCGTCCGGGTCCGACGAGATCTTGCCGCGCGCGTTGGTCGTAATGACAGCGCCACCTTCGTCGAGCACGACCAGTGTCGGGATGCCCTGCACGTTAAACTTGGTGCTCAGCGCCTCCTTGAGGTCGCGCTCAGCGTACGGCAGCGCGAGCCACGGCATCGAGCCAAAGTACTCTGCGAACGCCTCGTCGTCCGAGTCGGAGCTCACAAAGACGATCTCAAAGTTGAGCTTTTCGTGCAGCTTGGAGTAGTATGCGGCGAGCGTCGGCGTAAAGCCGCGGCACGGCCCGCACCAGTGCGCGCTAAAGTACAATAGCACCTTCTTGCCA